ACTTTCCGTCCTGTTGATATCGAGTGCTAATAAACTAGCCCCGATGTCAAACCTCTCAGTGATGTAGTAACGAACAAGTGAATATTTACTGCTGATCAGTTTGGGGAAATAAATGTAATTACATTAGAATATAGGGACCTTTCGCATCGGTACGAAAACGAGCACCAAAACGAACATATGTTCGTTTTCGTTTTCGTATCCTCTAACACGCGGTTTCGCAATCCGACGTACGATAATAGCTAGATGGCGTTAATGAACTTCTCGGTCAAGGCAAAGTTTTCAATCGATATTTTGGCAGATGTACAACAAATCAAGCAGAATAGTGCTTTTGAGCACATTCAACGAACTCCACATAATCAACAATACACACAAAGCCTCGAAAAATGGTGGAAAATTCAATATATGAGACAAGAAACATGTTCGTTTGCATACCTACGTAAATCCAGCTCCATACGCGTAACGTTTTTCACTGGCCGAACACTCATTAGGGATTGACGTCACAAGTACACACGATGACGTTTTCGTACCGATGCGAAAGGTCCCTAGTATCATATTCACAAGAGAGAGGGAGAGAGAGATGGTTTTAACGTCCACTCGACACAAACTACGTCATATCGGGACTAACATATGGTTCAGTTTTATTTTAATAATTCGTTTGCGCGTAGGGATCTATAGCGGTGGGAGGAAACCGGGGGACCCGGAGAAAACCCACGAGGTTGAACAGGCGACCCTACTCCTTCTCACGTACAACTGAGGAATCGACACCACGCCAGTTGATTCAATGAAAGATCTTATGATATAACGCGCACGTGCTAACCATTCGGCCACCCCCACCCCCACCACACACACACACACACACACACATATTCACAATAGCTATCAATATGCCAGGCGCAAAGTATTTTTCACGAGCTTTGATTATTTTTTTTTCAAATTTGGTGTGAAGCATTTTGGTCACTAGAGCACGAACCATGTTGATTTTAAGTATTCTATGACTTTCAGTTTCAGAAAAATGTTAGGTGTCCAGAAAAGATTGGGAACATCTCCATTATGTTTCAGGATGAATTTAGTTATTACTTCTTGTTTCTGGTAAAAAGACAAATGTTATGGCCCGTGGGTCATGCCAGGCGGAGCCATGTGTAGGGGTTGGGGTGGGGTGGGAATCATGCCCCACACGCCACCTACATTCTCTATGTCTGTATCAATATATGTTTTTTAAAATTATTTAAATTACAGATGTGACGTCATCCTTAAGACATTGCATAATATATTGAAACATTGCGTAATATAATGATGTCCCTCAATACATTATGCAAGAGCTAAATCTGCCAATTGCAGGTCTTTCTTTAGGCCTGAAATGTTATCTAAATTATTAATTAGACATTAATTAACTTGTCCAGACCATAATCAACTCTCGATGGCATCACTAGACTGTGATATTTACTGGAATAGAACCCGGTCTGCTGCTTCTGATTAAATAAAAAAATGGATAATCGAGACTATGTATTTCATCGTACCGACTTTAGTAATGATGATGGAGGCTAGGCAAGAAATTCAATCGCTAAATACTCGGTTCAGGGTTGATCAATTTGGCTGAAATGTTCAGCAAATTCCCTTTACATTATCTAGTTTTTAACTATTATAGTGAGAACTACCAGCTCTTTACCTACTCTCCCATGTATCTTTAATGTCTCGCTGTCGACCATTCAACCACACTTAAATCGCTTGTTCTTGTTTACAGGAAGCTCGTTCTTATGTAAGTCAGTGAGTAAGACGTTGGCTCGCTAACCTGGAGATCCGTATACAATCCCGATGTTTGCCGATGTGATTTTCCCGTCAGTGGTGCAGGGGGAGAGACAGCGAAATGGGGTTTAATGTCCACTCGACACAAACTAGGTCATTTCGGGAATAGTATATGGTTCAATTTTATTTCAATAATTCGTTTGCGCGTAGGGGTCTTTAGCAGTGGGAGGAAACCGGAGGGCCCGGAGAAAACCCATGAGATTGGATCGGCGACCCTACTCATTGTCACGTACAACCGGGGAATCGAAAACATGCCAGTTGACTCAATGGCAGACCAGTGCTGCAGTGCGCCAGTGGTGCAGAACTGAGGACCCCCAAAGATGAGACAAAAACCAAGGTCGCGTGTACACATTGGCGTTCACGAAAAAGATCTCCTGATCTTGGAATACGATATAAGCCTAGGCCGTGGCGCAGCTGTCGGGCATAATTTCCCACATGGCATATTGTATGACCTATATCTGCCTTCATTAGCCCTATCGGATCAAAACAGTAGGGCATTAAACCCGTACATGTCTACATTGTGACACGTACATGTACAGTATCCCCATCCATCACTCACCCTTAACAGAAAGGTGTTGTGTGATTTATAAATGTCAAGTATTCGAAGGTTATGTCTGGGAAATCTGTGGATGTTTATAGAAACACTGTGTAAATCAACTCAAATTTTAGCTTATATATTGTCTACGTATATGGTTACATAAGAGACGTTTTTATGGGTTGTAGAATTGTAATAAACAAGTAAATGAGATTGATATCATGTCTAATAAATTACATTCAAACTAGAAGTCAATCATGTTTTGTTTTATTTTTTTATTCCCCACTGACAGAACTTATATAAGGAAATTATTGTACTTAATCGGGAACGATATTGAAATCACCTAACCTTGCTAAAGATGGAGGGGAAGGGGGGAGGTTAGAAGGTCTGTCATTGAGTCAAGCTGGGTCGTTTCAATTCCTCGCTTGCACGTGACAAGTTGTAGGGTCGCCTAGCCAACATCATGGGGTTTCTCTGGTTTTCGCCCCGTCTTCATTAGCCCAGGTTAGGAGCAGAACAGTAGGACGTTAAACACCATTTCATTTCATTTCACTCTGGTTTTCGCCCACTGCTAAATACCCCTACGCGCAAGGGAATTACCGAAATAGTATTGAATCATGTCCTAGTCCTGAAATGCCCTAGCCCCCCCCCTCTCTCTCTTCTTAGATTTTATTAAAGGCCCTGGATGTTGATATATAGAGAGACGCCCTGAAAACCCAGCTCTTTTATACATGAGAGATTTTATATCTCGTTAGAAATATCTACTTTAATGTTGCAAGTTTCGATATCAAACAACGATAGTACATGCGGCTCTTTTTTTACACGTAACAGCACCACGGATCAGTTCTCAGTCACTAGTTCTCCCTTGTCAGTGGTGCAGGACAGGGGACCAGACAAGGGACAACGTATAGTCGTTCGGATGGGACTAAACACCAAAGTCCTGTGTACACATTGGCGTGCAGGTAAAAGATCCATTGACAATTGGAATTAGATCTAAGAGTAGGCCGTAGCGCCGCTGTCCAGCAAAATTTCCCTTATAGCACACTGTATGGCGTATGCCCGTCTTCATTAGCCCAGTAGGAGCAAAACAGTAGGACGTTAAACCCCATTTCATTTCATTTCATTTATCTCTAACACAAATAATTGATTTCGACTGAACAGGATTTATGGTGGAGGTATGGGGTGTAAATAGGCCCTTTAAAACCCGAGAACCAGTATATTCCTTCCGTTCTGGGGAAGATGCAACGATATGCCAGGGTTGATTCCCGAACATCGGGCTACGAAAACGCAGCTAAAACTTTGAGGTGGTATACTGATGTGTTTGTATTTAGCTAGGACTAGATGCCTTGGTTTCATCTGGCAATTGTAATTATTTTATTAATGTATGTCAGATAAATTATTACCATATTAAGATTATTTAAACGTACACGGCCCAATGTAATGGTATATAAATCTTTCGCAAATATTGTTAAGTTAAGTTAATCAAGCGGTGTTCAATCGGTTTGGGACGGCCATTTATGGTGCATTACTTAACATGCCCCGTACTGTGATCAAAATAATAATCAATCGTTGTTTTGAAGACACAATGACAGTTTTGCTTATTGAATTCCGACGTGATTCACATCTGTATTAGTACCATAGTCACTACATTCAACACGGTGATTCACATCTGTATTAGTACCATAGTCACTACATTCAAAACGGTGATTCACATCTGTATTAGTACCATAGTCACTACATTCAAAACGGTAGAATGTTAAACCCCATTTCATTTCATTTCATTACATTCAAAACGAGAGTGCCGAATAATCCTACAATCCTCTCCTCGCAGCGTGAATTTTCATACTTTCTGTGACTGCTAGAGATGCAGAAATTTATTTAGGCTACTTTCTTCAGTCAGTTATCCCAAGCACGGACCACCCTTTCGTCCCCATTTTACAACTTTTAGTCCACATACTTCTAACTTGCCACGGGTTGTCAAACAAAACTAAACAGACAAAATAAAATACTTTAAAGGTACGGCTACGCATCATCAAATACTATTTCCAACTTACCAAGGGTTGTCAAGACTTAAAAGGTAGGGCTACGTATATTCAATTAATATTTGCAAATGGCACACACATTCTTAGGAGGAATATTTTCGGGCGAAAGGACCAAATATTTTCTGCTCCTATACTGGGCTAATGAAGACGGGCATACGCCATACAGTGTGCTATGAGGGAAATTTTGCCCGGGCAGCGGCACTATCGCCTACTCTTATATCGAATTCCAACTGCCAGGGGATCTTTTACGTGCATTCCAATATATACACGGGACCTCGGTTTTTCGTCTCACCCGAAGGACTAGACAGCTGTCCTTGTCAGGCCCTCCGTCCTGCATCACTGACAAGGGCGAACCACGCCGGAAAATCTGGATAAACTTTCTCGGCCAATGCAGCGATCGAACACCCGACCTCCAGGCTAGCGAGCCAGCGTCTTACCAACTTAGCCACGTAATCCCCGCAAAGGGGTCTGAGCTTCGGGTGAGTGGGTATTGGGTCGGTAGGATATCAAGGAATAAAGGCTCGGTTTCCATTATTTATTTTTCTTAAAATTAAACGGACTATATTACATAGAATATAACTATTTACTTAATTATTATAAATATATAAATACTCCTAAAATATAACAATTATACACAATATTAACATAATATAACTACATGTACATAATCATTATAAATACTCCTAACATAAAAACAATCATACACAATTTTAATTATATTTACAAATAACAGTAATAAGACTTTACTTATTAAAGGTAAAAAATCCTAAAGCCCTCAGAGTAAATCATATTTAAATTATGTTTCGTTCTAGTATTCATATGTTTTGCATTGCCAATTAACTTCTTTAAATAACTCTTTGGTGTAACACCCTCACCCTCTGAACACCACGTTGATAGAATTGTGTTTACTCCCCTTCGGGTATTTTAGTATTTTGAAAGGCAGGATTATCTAAACCGTTAGACGTTTTGGAGGCTTGTTTCTTGGGATAGACAGGGAGTTGATCTGCGAAGGCTTCTGTCGTCACCGGGCCAATTATTGATAAGACAACTGGTAGTAAAAGAGCTGCATGAAGTATACCGAAGGCAATGACAAGAACCATCACTTTAAAGAATGATTCAAAAACGTACGAATCGGATAATGCCAAAGTAGAGATACCAATTAAAGATGATAACCCAGCGTTCCAAATCGGACTTGATGCTTTAGCAATTGTGGAAGAAGTACGAGCGTTTCGATTTGAGCCTGACGATGTCAAGTATCCATGACAGATGTGTACGCTATAGTCGACCGAGAAGCCAACGCTCATGATTAAATGTATCATAGTGATGGAACTAAGCGTTAAATTCCAATAATGCATAAACCCGAAAATACCCGTTAGAATCATGACAAGGTTTACGATAACCAGGAACACCATAAGGGGATGGGGCATCAGAAGTACCGTTATCAGAAACATGGCGCCTAATGCCGCTCCGACCATTTGAACTGTGTTTGGTATGATAGCATTATATTGTTCAAAGTACATAAAATAAGGAGAGTAAACAAATGAAGACAATGGCGACCGCTCGGCAGTACCCCGTAAGTCCGACATCAATTTCCCTTGGTCACTGGACCCTGGAACATCACTTGAGAATACGTAACAACGGGATTTCAAAATGGCGTCTTTCGCGTCGTTAAAAACTATGTCGTTTTTAAAGGGAGTATAAAACATTAAGAAAGTTTGCAGCCCTTCAACAAACTCTTGTGGTGTGTAATTTTCATTATAAAAGAAACGTCCTGATTCTTGGTAGCTGGTCAACCAACAAAGTGTGTGATTTTTCTTAACGAAATCAATTTCTGTTAGATTTGAAATCAACTGGTGAATATTTTTGGACACCCCTGCTTGGCTGTAATCCATTTCGTCCTCAAAAACAACGGATACTGGGAAAGAAGTTTGGTAATTATTTTTAAACCAATTGCTATAATTTTGATAGTAAGAATCCTTGCTTACTAGATTGTTCAAAATAAGGCCCTGCTCGAGATTAATAACGCCCCATATAGCGAACCCAAAGTAGACCATAAAAGATATGATAACGATAACCTTTACAACAGGCTTCAACAAGAAACGTGTAAATACCATTCGTGGTAAAATTTCACAGCCGCTTTCGTCTTCTTCTCGTACTCTTGGTGGGAACCCAGAACAACACCAAACGGCAACAGGGTTGGCGCCATCTTTTCTCATCTGATCGGCGGTTGGTCTTATTTGACACGTGACACAATGTCGATTAGCGTGTACACGTCTAGCGTGTATGACTAAACAACCAGCAAAGAAGGTCATGTGGCACAGATAACAAAAGAGAAGAGCAAGGCCTGAAAAAATACCCAGGTTATTTTAAAATGTATGCTATAAATATAGGCCCTGTTACAATTGTAGTGTTTAATTAAAGTATTCAAAATACAACCTTACCGAAAAAGATAGTTTCAGTTACACGTAATGTCCGCGTTAATATTTATGTTAACGAAACAAAACTATTGTGTAAATAGCTTTTTGCCAGCTTTGCTTTATTCCCGTGCAAATACCTGAAGTATGTGGCACTATTTTGAAACGGTACAATCGTCAGTTTTCGTGATTGGCAGCATGTCCTAGTGATCGCATTGCACGATACTTGTATACACCACGTGAAAAGGCTACCAAAAAGAAAGGATCAGAATCCTAATGCAAGGAAGCCACTGTGGCTTAGTGCGTAAGACGTTCACTCGCTGTCCGGAGGTCCCGTGTTCGATCCTTGGCTCGGCGTTGCTCCCTCTTTTCAGTGATATAGGACGAAGGGTCTAGCAAGGAACAACGTATAGTCTTTCGGATGGAACGAATAACCGTGGTCCCGTGTACATAATGGTGCGCACTTACAACATTGTTTTAAGACTCTTGACAGATAAACTGGATACAAGAGTAGGCCATAGCGCCGCTGTCCGGGCAAAATGCCCATCCTTGCCCACTGCATGGCGTATGTCAGATTTCATTAGTCTAGTCGGTGCTGAAAAGTAGGACGTTAACGCCCATTTCATTTTATTTATTTGAGTAACGTAAAGTGATTCAGAAATGTCCGTGATAATATCCAGACGGTTTAGTTACTTACCGGTATAAATACAAAAATGGCGGACACTCATAAAATCGGACATTGCACCCACAGCAAAGGCTATGACGTCAGTCATTGCAGCTATCGTCACAGAAATGCCACTAGAACGGAACATCAATCCAATTCTTTCTTCTATGGAGTTCTTCTTACATATGTAGGTTTCTGCCCAGCCAGACATCATGATGAAGGAATAATCAACACCAACACCTTAAACAAAAAGTGTTGGGATAATTGAAAAATTGATCAATAAACACAACCAGTTACACATTAATTTCATTCTGCTTTCTTTTTAAAATTTAGACTACCAAGGGTTATTGTACATGCACGCCAAGGTGTTCTCCCGCCCTTGCTACGTCCACTAAGAACGGGGAAGCAGGCTGTAAAATATACAGGGACATTGGCAACTTTCTCGAGTAAGCTGGGAGCCACGATGGCTTGTTAAGAAAGACGTTGACTAGCTGGCTTGGAGGTCCCGCCTACGATCCCTGCGTTGGCAGGCGTGGTTTCACCTTATCAGTTGTGCAGGACAGAGGGCATGGCAAGGGACAAAGAATAGTCGTTCGGATGGGACTAAAAACCGCGGTCCCGTATACACATTATCATGTACGTGAAAATAAAAGATTCCTTGGCAGTTGGAATTCGATATAAGAGTAGGCCGTAGCGCCCTTGTCCGGATAAAATTTGCCTCATAGCATGCTGTATGTCCGTCTTCATTAGTCCAGTCGGGGCATAACAGTAGGACGTTAAACAGTAGAGAGTTAACGCGTCCACTCGACACAAACTAGGTAATTTCGGGACTAACACATGGTTCATTTTTATTTCAATAATCGCTTGCGCGTAGGGGTCTTTAGCAATGGGAGGAAACCAGTGGACCCGGGAGATTGGTCAGGCGGCCCTACTCCTTGTCACGTACATCCGGGGATTCGATACCACGCCCCCCCCCCCCCCCCAAGCAAGGAAACAAATTGTAGATATTTATTTTCAAATCAGATTGCACGGGCGAACTATTATTAGCAAAGTAAAGATATGAGTCAGTTTGAGATTAAATTAATATGGTTCAAGTATTTCTATTGCTAGAAAGGGGAATTTTGTCAGGTCAGTGTGGATTAGTATCGGCCAAATATAATATTTATGGTCCGATTCAAATCACCACTCCGCTTGACCGTTCAAACTTTATTCAACATTAAGAAATCCAGTATAATTTCAACAAATATTTGAAATGTATATGTGTGCAAAACATTTAATTCATGCAGCACAAGTCACAAATAGCAACGATTGTGATTTCAAATATTCTTCTATTTGCGTTATTAAATACATACAAAGCAGAAAGGTAGCAATAATTTTAACTTTTGTCGCATGTGAAGTCATATCTACCAAAACATCTAATATTATGATATACATTATCGGGGTGTCATACCATTTTTCTAAAATATGAAATGATGGCATTATAAGACGAGTACTCTATCGTCTGCAACCATTTTAGGTTAATCCTTTTAGAACCCCCAAAAACAAAAAACAAAACAAAAAAAAAACAACCCAAAAAACGTCTTCATTAGCCCAGTTCGGAGCAGAAAAGTAAGTTAGACGTTGAACCCCATTTAATTTCATTGAGAAATAAAATATCCACTTACCTATTACCAGAAAGGGCATGACACCGACGATGTTGACAAATTTCATTGAGAAATATATTATCCACTTACCTATTACCAGAAAGGGCATGACACCGACGATGTTGACAAATTTCATTGAGAAATAAAATATCCACTTACCTATTACCAGAAAGGGCATGACACCGACGATGTTGACAAATTTCAGGCCGATTAAGCTGAGGGTTCCAAAAGAAGCGAGGATAGATAACCCTACTGCAACAACTGCTGCTCTTGCCAGATGTCCACGATTAGCAACACAGTTTCCCCCAGAACTTGTAAAGGTGGCGTAGATCAACATTAACGTAAAGGAATAGGAGAAATTACGAATGTCCTTTTTGGTGTTGCGGTTCAACTCTACATTTAGAGACTGGGAAGTGGAATAGGCAAATTCTGTGAGATTGAGACTGGTCTGCAGTTCAGGCAAATAATTCATAATTCCGATTTCCCACGCCCTCGATCTTTCTGTTTCGGTGGCGTTACTTTGGGCTAATTCAAACAGGAGTCGAAACATCTTTGCAGATTGTAAAGTACCATTGATGGCGTCCGCCTTTCCCAAAAAACGATTTAAGTCAATAACTCTGTGTTCAGTTACTTGCCAATCGGGAAATGTCATTTTGTTTTTTCGATAACGGTTAAGAAATTTCTTTTCTAGTAGCATTTCACCGTCTATGACACAGGTCCGTACTTGTTTACCGCAGACATCGCTGTACGTAAAATTTGTATTATCTTTAGTCACATTGAAGTTTCGTATTTTTGAAATAATATGCCCAATTTCTTCTAGGATGTCTTCCGATAGGACGTTTTTTCCATTCTTTGCTCGTATAAGTACGTCTGCATTGTAAGGGACATTAGCAAGAGTGTGCGACCAGTAATTGTTCTGAATTCCTTTGGAAAAGATATCCGAAACTCGATCTTGGTCTAGAGCGGCCTGGCTGTTTTCGGGAAGATAAAGCGTTTCCAGGTCATTTTCACTCTCCATTAAGAGAATTCCTGCTCCCAGGCCACCACAAATTACAAGGGCAGAAATGATAAAAGCAACTGGATATCTACCAACTAATTTACCATAAGACTCGAACACTGACCCGAGTCTGTTTTCTACTGCCTCATAAAGCACCGAACAGCCCATTTTGACGTAAAAATCTGAATTTACAAAAAACAATTAAATAACTAACCAGCGGTTGCCATGCAAGATAAGCCCACATTTTGCAAGCGATGGATAGGAAATAAGCTACCCCCCCCCCCCAAAAAAAAACCGAAAAAAACCCCGTGAATTTTCCTACAACCAGGGGCCATAATCCAGGAAGTTATGATCTGAAATACGTGAATATCGAAAAAAACTGAGATCTTTGGCATATAAACAAAATTTTTAAGTTTCATCAAAATCGGACAAAATTGTAACATCTCTACAACCTTCGTATTACATACTTTTACACTATTTGCGTCCACAGAGCGTCTATTCTGTCGGGCAGTTTCGTTCCGATTTTTCTGATATTCGACCTCAACCTTTATCATGGTGTAAGGGTGATATATCTAAACTGTTTTTAAAATTGTATAAAAATTGTCACCTCTAGAGGCCCAACAAACTAAAAATGTGATTTTTCGTACAATAAGGGGCCATAATCTAGGAAGTTATGGTCTGATAGTATCAAGTTCATTTGAAGATCAGTCTATATTTCAAGTTTCGTCAAAATCGGATAAAAATTGTAACCTGTAGCGTGTCCACAAACAAATTATGGACGGTTGGACAGGGGCGACGACAATATACGTTCACATGAAAAAATGGGCGTTTAAACTTTTAAATAGTTTTAAACTTGATTTTGAGAGAATTTAATTAAATATTTTAAGTCTAAAAAATATAATATGGAATATAAAATCTATTTTACAAATAATTTGTCCATAAAATCGGACTACACTTTCTGTCAATTTAAACAAGCTTTCTACCATCAAAATTGTGTGTAGGATTATGAAAAAAAATATTTAGCTCTGACTACATTTTATGTAAATTTAAACATGCATTTAACCATCAGAATTGTGTGTAAAAGTATGAAATAAAATATTAAGCTCCTATGAGACAAATGAAACCAAAAAACGGATAAAATCTGACTACATGTTATGTCAAATTAAACATGCATAGAACAATCAGAATTATGTGTAAAAGTATGAAATAAATAATAAGCTCCTATGAAACAAATGATAAAATTAAATAGTAATGTTTTGGCGTTATAAATGGATTTATAAATATGAACCTACCTGTATTATGATGGCCGTCGAACCTGTTTGGTTCTTGGCGCAGTAATGCCAATTCTTTTGTCCTCACCTGTTATGTAACGAAGACATTTACTGTTATGAAACTGATTTGTTCAAGCCATTTATCATACGTCAAATAAACGAGACTAGATTTATACAACCGGGGCTTGAACATTCATCATCTTTATTCTGACATATAGTTTCCAGTATCACATTAAATTTATGACTGATCAAGAATAGCGAAGCTTCTTTTATAACACTTTGACCTCTCGCATTAATTTATTCGGTTCTAAATTCATACATAACAGCATTTCGTCAGGTATAATGAATTAATTTAACGTGTGTTACTTTACTTATATTCTTTGATTGAAATGAACTGACGTGGTGTTTAATGTCCTACTGTTCTGATCCGACTAGACTAATGAAGATGGACATATAGTCCGGTGGCTGAAGGGGGGGGGGGGGGGGGAAATCACCACGCGAGCTTTGAATTTATGAGATCAATTTTTTCTAGACCAGTTTTTTGCGTAGATCCCGAATCTGGGTGGTGATCAGGCGTTGGGGGGGGGGGCGTTTTCGAGATATGGGGGGGGGGGGTCCAATGTCTACAATTGGGGAAAACTGTCATTATTTTGATATAAATGATGATCATGTTGTATATTAATAAAACATAAATTTGTAGGACTGTCCATCTGTAAAGAAGTGTATATGATGCCCCTGGACAACTGTTTTGATTTGTGGGGGAGATGGGGTGGGGGTAGCAGGTGTGTGTGTATGGAGGTGGGGTGGGAAATTGGCGGGAAATGAGTTCACGTAGATTTAAACGATGATTTTCTTAGAGCTTGGTAAAAACATTACTTTTTAATTCCGCTGCATATCTCTAATTATGTGGGGAAAATTCCCATTGTATGGGGCGGGGGGACAAAATGTAATTTTGGGGACAGAAACCATTCAGTTCAAAATTGATCTGAAAAGTGTTTTCTTTTATCTTTTTCGTTCAATCTGATTAAACCACAGATGCTAGTTCGTTTCGTTTTTCATAGTTCAAAATTTCGTTTTATTTGTCTTCACAACACGGGGGGTTGGATGGCTGAATGATTAGCGTGTGCGCGCTGTATCATACAGTCTGTCATTGAGTCGACTGGCGTGGTTTCGAATCCCCGGTTGTACGTGGCAAGGAGTAGGGTCGCCTGTCCAACCTCGTGGGTTTTCTCCGGGTCCTCCGGTTTCCTCTCACTGCTAAAGACCCCTACGCGCAAGCGAATTATGTAAATAAAATTAAACCATGTTAGTCCCGAAATGACCTAGTTTGTGTCGAGTGGACGTTAAACCCCATTTCTCTCTCTCTCTCTCTTCACAACACTGTTATATAAACGGTCTGTTACGGCGAGTTCTTGGCGTGCTCTGCACGGAACTGTGGGTCATCGCCCAGAAACGTCAGCGCTGATTGATTAATCAGTGTCTGACGTCATAGGGTCAAAAGCCGCTCGAATGACCCCTGACGTGACTTCCCAGTACAACTGGTCAGGTCTTCATGTAGTGTAGGCCATCGAAAGTATAAAAACACGAAACGAAATATAGATCTATATTTTAATCAGATCGCCTTCAGTGCCAAATAATAATATTGAATTATAATCATAATGGTACTTTTAAAGAGATCTGGAAATGTACATAAAAAACATAGTAAATTAGAGACATGTTTAGATATTAGTTTATTCATAGTCTTCATCAGAAGATTCAAAATCAAAGTAAATAAAAACACATGTTACCCCCCCCCCCCCCGCGCGGGCACCCACCCCGGGAATATTATAAACATATTTAGAGATGGTCCATTAACTTCTAAAGAAAATCATCACTAATTTCCCGCCCCCCACCCCACAAATCAAAATAGTTGTTCAGGGACATCATAAACACTAATTTAGAGATGGGCAGTCCTAGAAATTTATGTTTTATTAATAATTATATAACATGATCATCATTAATATGTCAACATAACCATATTTTCCCCCAATTGTATCCCCACCATCCAGATTCGGAATCTACGCAAAAAACGGGTCTAGAAAAACATGGTCTCATAAATTCACAGGTCGCGTAGCGACCCCCCCCCCCCCCCTCAACAGCCACCGGACTAATATTACGCCATAGTGTGCTGTGAGGGAAATTTTGACCGGACAGCTACGATATGGCCTACTCTTATTTCGAATTTCAGCTACCAAGGGCTTTTTTACGAGCGGACCACGGGATCAAATCATCAAATTCTTTTACACATTGCTGAAAAGCGGGCGGTTATAACATAAAGGTTATATAAACCATACATGTAGTGTACGCAAGAATGTGAACATGAAAACACAAATAAAAAATAATGCAAAAATGAGTAAATATCATCACTGTCACTAATATCACAATTTAAAGTAGACTTTATTTAACACCCATGACAAAATTGCATTAATTATACATTTTAATTAAAGATTCAGTTGTTCAAATAGCATGTCACGTCACGTGTCAGTATTTTTTGTACCAGTATAAATGACGCTGGTAATTTATTCATCAAATTTTATGCTGGTTTAGTATATTGCCTTCTTTTATAGATGTCTAACTTCCTCGAAATATTTGGATATGGATGGCCGAATGGTTAGCAGATATGCGTTGGGTCATAAGGCCTGTCATTTCGTCAACTGGCGTGGTTTCGATTCCCCGGTTGTACGTGACAAGGCGTAGGGTCGCCTGTCCAACCCCTTGGGTTTTCTCCGGGTCCCCCGGTTTCCTCCCACTGCTAAAGACTCTACTCACAAGCGAATTATTAAAATAAAATTGAACCATATGTTAGTCCCGAAATGACCTAGTTTCTGTCGAGTGGACGTTGAACCCAATCTCTCTCTCTAATTTATCTCTCCCGCTTATACATGTCTCTCTCGAAATAGCAAACGTGTGTTGTCGGTTTGCCCACAGGAACTCATTTATCGAAAGAGAATGATAATGAGCAAAATATGTAGGTTTAGATTATAAGATGCCTATATATTATTTTTCTACTAAATAACTTATCCGGGCAAATAGCTTCTGGTCCTTCTAACTGTATACGTATACATTTCATGAAATACTGATCCTACAAGTTTGTCGTTTCAATCAAAACTTATTTTCGTATCTCTTTTATTAGTCATAACCTTTTTATTTTCGTCTAATTTTAGCCACTTTACAGCAATGGTCCTACATTTGTAGTCAAGACTTATTTTGCTGGTTTTTCCTTGGCTTTGGCCATGTTTTCCGTCTTCTTTATGGATGTCAGCTACTGGCCTAAAAAAGTGTGCACTTAAAACTATAGTGTGGCTGATCTACTAAATAACGCTGTCACGCTGTAATATTTAAACATGCATTATGCAAGAGGTAAATCTGCCTGTTGCAGGTCTTTCTGTAATTAATTAAACTATTAATTAGACATTTATTAACATGAAAAGACCATAACCAACTCCCGATGCCATCTTATCTGTCCGATTTTCACTGGATTTGAATCCGATCTGCTGTTCAACATCCGTTGATGACTAAACGCAAAATTGGATAATCGAGACTTTGTTAATTATCGTGACAGCGCTAACAATGATAATCGGGGCTACAAAGATTTTAAATTAAGGTTTTCTCGGCTTAGAGTGAAACAATTTTCAGTATATTCCCTTTCCATTATCTAGCTTTCAACTATTATAGTGAGAACTGAAAGCTCCTTATCCAATCTTCCATAATGTATCTTTAAAGTATACAATCGTAATGACATTGGGTTCTGTGAAATATAACACAATATTACCTGTTTATGATGACGAATTATAGATACAATGTATAAAAGCCAGATTTTGACTCAATAGTTCTCTTTCGCGTTTTGTTATAGCGTAGTTATCGACGACTACAAAATCTTGAGAAACACCCTCCTGAATTGATAATGATTAAGTTCTCAGACAGTTTACTCTGTTTCAGAATTTTTAATAAACATCGCGTTTACAATTCCACTTCCAAAACCCTTTTTTTTCTCTGGCATCTTCAGGGACCAACCACTTTTAAGCAGGGCCCGTGAGAGGGAGTGGGCAACTGGGACACTTGTACAGGTGCCCAGAGATATGCCGGAATTTTTTTTTAAAATTGGTATAAATTGATTAAAAATATATATATATATACACTGTAACTTGATCGTGATGTAGCAGAAAACCGGCAACTTTCTGAATGGGGGTATCTGGTGGCGTGGGGTAGGATTAGAATCGGATTCTGTCGTTCCGCATTTTTTCGAAACATTGGTGACTTTACAGACCATGCATCTTTCAAAAGATTTCCAGCCCGGGCGCACAACACACCTTGGCCCGACCCATCATCTCGACGAAATGTACCTAGCTTTAGGAATTCCACATACTATTTACGTTCCTGTTATGGACTCTTTGGTTACCGCTTTAATTTATTTGTATGATATCAAAGATAGTTGTGGGTTTATTGGGTCGTTCAAATTTCTTCAATCCGGCCTCATAATTGTTGCCCGGTCACAAATATAAGGGGGCGCTCATGTCGACATATTTCAGTTGAATACCCCCACATAAGGAAGTCACGGTGGCAGGCTAAGCTGGAGGTTGCCTGCGTTGACCGAGGAAATTCATACGATTTTCCAGCGTGGTACACCATTTTTAGTGACAAGAGACGACGTAGAGTTGTTCGGATAGGACGAGGTCCTGTGTTCATAAAAGAATCATTGATAGTTGGAATTCGATACAAGAGTAGTCAAAATGTCCCTTGTAGCACGCTGAATGGCATGTCATTAGCCCATTCGGTGCAGAACACACCACATCCGCCTTTCCTGAAGAGAAGATTGCCCTGTTAAATTTTTGCTATTCAAAGGGACAAAGTTAATAATTTCGTAACTTAAATTATAATTTATTACTCTTGAAGAGGCAGGTAAAAGGACTGGCTAAACAGACCAATCACAATAAAAACAAGAGCATAGAAGTTTGCGCAGTAGCCTTCAATTGGATCACCTCAAACAATAGCAGCGTTAGTCGTTGCCATGGATGAACTGGTTGGCCTAGAGCGAAGTAGATGGAGAATCTAATTTAAAATTAGATGAATTGC